GATTCTGCATGGGTTTGAGTTCCTATTTCACGCCAGGATCCTGCTGGGCACTGAGGACCCAGATGAGTCAGGTGTGTCCCTGCCAGGCGTGATGGTTAATACTGTAGAGAACCCTAATACTGTAGAGAGGGAGCCTCCCTCTCTGGCAGGAGAGCCAGGAACATTAGCTGGCTGAGTTGAACTTGCATTTATCCTGGTATCCGGCTCCATGTGTCTGTTTATCTAATTGCAAAATGGGGAAAGACCTTGAATGGAGTCCTGGCTAGATTAGTAGGGCCAAGTCAGAAATTTCCAACACTTATTGAGCACTTACTATGTGCTAGGCAGGATTGGATCCAGTTTTGGGTGGGGGGGGTGGGACCTGAAACTTGTAATTCTGAGCATTCTCTTTAAGAAGAAAAATATATGCCAGGCGCAGTGGCTCACAACTGTAATCCCAACACTTTGAGAGGCTGAGGTGAGAGGATTGCTTGGGTCCAGAAGTTCAAGACAAGTCTGGGAAACATAGTGGGGACCCATCTCTGAAAAACAAAAATTAAAAAGTTAGCCAACAGGGTGCCATGTGCCTGTAGTCCCAGCTGCTCAGGAGGCTGAGGCAGGGGGATTGCTTGAGTTAGAGGCTGCAGTGAGTGAGGATCAATCATTCCACTGAACTCCAGCCTGGGTGACCGAGTGAGACTCTATCTCAAAACAAAACAAAACAAGACAGAAAAGAAAAATAGAAATAAAAATGACAAAATAGGCCAGGTGCGATGGCTCACACCTGTAATCCCAGCGCTTTGGGAGGCCGAGGCAGTTGGATCACAAGGTTGGGAGTTCAAGACCAGCCTGTCCAGGATGGTGAAATCCCGTCTCTACTAAAAATACAAAAAGTAGCTGGGTGGGATGGTGGGCGCCTGTAATCTCAGGAGGCTGAGGCAGGAGAATTGCTTGAACCTGGAAGGTGGAGGTTGCAGTGAGCCGAGATCATGCCACTGCACTCCAGCAGCCTGGGCAACAGAGTAAGACTCTCTCAAAAAAAAAAAAAAAAAAAAAAAAAGACAAAATCAAGTACAAAAGTGAATATTTATTCCACAGTTACATATTTTTAAATGCCAAGAAATACCACAAACATCAACAAATTCTGAAAAATATTTTTTCTTAAGTGCCAAAATCTCTCTCTAATGCTTTTTTCCTATAAATCTGAACCACATTCTCTTCACTTCCTGATGTTATAAGTTATGCAATATTTTCCATAGAAAGAATAGAAAGATAATTCAGTGTTTCTTTATATGATTGATTGAAACTAGTGTATTATGATTGACAGTTTAGATGCATAAAAGATGCAACTTCAGGCACAAATATACTTGCTGTTTGTGCTACTGTCATAGGCTTGTGCCCTATGACTATAGAGCTCTGGCAAATTCTATTTCACATGAGTCCCATCAAGAAGAAAACATGGATGTATTTATTTCCTTTTTATTTGTGTTTTTTTTCTTTTTTCTTTTTTTTTTTTTTTCGAGACGAGTCTCACTCTGTCACCCAGGCTGGAGTGCAGTGGCTCAATCTCAGCTCACTGCAACCTCCATCTCCCAGGTTCAAGCAATTCACCTGCCTCAGCCTCCTGAGTAGCTGGGATTACAGGCACCTGCTGCCATGCCTGGCTAATTTTTTTTTTTTTCTGCTTTTAGTAGAGACAGGGTTTCACCATGTAGGCCGGGCTGGTCTCAAACCCCTGACCTCAGATGATCTGCCCACCTCGGCCTCCCAAAGTGCTGGGATTACAGGGTGTGAGCCACCGTGCCCAGTCTATTTTGTCTTTTTTGAGACAGATCTCATTCTGTCACCCAGGCTGGAGTGCAGTGGTGGGATCTTGGCTCACTACAGCCTCTACCTCCTAGGCTCAAGTGATCCTCCCACCTCTCAACACCCAGAGTAGCTGGGATTACAGGCATGTGCCATCAGACCCGGCTGATTTTTGTGTTTTTAGTAGAGATGGAGTTTTGCCATGTTGCCCAGGCTTGTCTCGAACTCCTGGGCTCAAGTGATCAGTGCTCCCAATGTGCTGGGATTACAGGCGTGAGCCACTGCATCTGGCCCAGAAAAGATGTATTTATAATTTCTGATTATATAGACTGCATTATGTATTATGTTTCTGGTGCACGATCATTAGTGGATTTGTTTTTTGTTTGTTTTTTGAGAGGGTCTCACCCTGTCACCCAGGCTGCAATGCAGAGGTGCAGTCATGGTTCACTGCAGCCTCCACCTCCTGGGTTTAAGTGATCCTCCTGCCTCAGCCTCCTGAGTAGCTGGGACTACGGGCTTATACTACCATGCCCAGCAATTTTTTTTTTTTGCATTTTTTTATAGAAACGAGGGTTTCATTATGTTGCCTAGGCTGGTCCCGAACTCCTGGACTCAAATGATCTGACTACCTTGGCCTCCCAAAGTACTGAGATTACAGGCATAAGCCACTGCACTCAGCTGATAATTTCTGTTTTGATGAGGCCCAAATTCTTTGCCTACAATTTCGTACATCTGATGCCTGAAAGAATATTCCACAAACTAGCTTCAGACTCTATACGTTTTAAACCTTGTTTCTCCTCCATTGTCCACAGACTTCCAGCGCTGGTCACAGCTATGACGCCAAATGAGTCGGCACGGCACGGTGGGCAGGCAGTGTGAGTTTTCATTCTGGAAGCTGTTCCTATACCAGAACGTCTGGTAATAACTCTGCTTGTAAGTGACCGCGAACCATATAAATATGCACCACTAATCCCAAATTACTGTAAATGTATCCTCAGCTCAGCTTCCCTTCAGCTAAATCCCCCACATGCCTCAGCCACTCACCACCCCTTGACAGGAAAGGAAGGAGGGGAAGCAAAGTAAACGGAAACAGTGGTATCAACCCTTTGCAGCTTGAATACCTTGCTTTTTGCAAAGTTTTACAAAAACATTTGACCATGGGAACCCATTGCCAGCGTATCCATCTCTCAGAGAGGGGACAGCTGTAAGCAAGGGGCACTGATGTGTAGACTTGATTAGCTTCTTGGTGTGTCTGCCTCGGTGCTGGCCCTGCTCTGAGCCAGTGGATGAGCGTTGTCTCAGTGAATCTCCGTAACTACTCTGCGAGGTGGGATTATTTTTATTTTTTTTTTAACAATGCAGAAACTGAGGTCCAAAGAAGTAGCCAAAAGTCATGTGATTGATAAGGGCAGGTTTGAAGTCAGGACCACGTGACCCCAGAGGCTGCACTGGTAACTTCGTTCCCCAGAAACTGATAGGGCTGTTGCCAAGAGATGGATGCAAGGGTGGGTGGATGGACAGATGAACGCTGGCTGGTCCCCTAGTTTATTGGGTACTCAGCTGCTAGCTGTTTTCAGACAGGGAATTCCCCAAAGGCAAGACAGAGTCTGAAGATTCTTTCCCTGAACACGGTAGGACAAAGAAGAGGAACTCAGAAAAGGGGGGACTGAGAGATGAGGTGCCCCAGGCCCTGCCCTCAAAGCCCAGCAACAGTGTAGGGAAAGAAGACCTACACCAGGCAGAGGTGACTGGTCACAGGGCCGTGTCCACTGGGTAGCAGTGCAGGGTTCTGCTTAAAGGCATCAGAAAAAGTCCAAGTCCTTCTCCCGCAGGCCAACCTCTCAGGGCCCTGAGCCCTGCCACCTTTCCTTGTCTACTCCTCTGCTTCAAGGCATTCCCAAGCTTCCCTTTGGAGTTTTCCAAGGTGTCAAGGGAATGAGATGCCCACCCAGGTGGTCCATTCCAAGGCTCAGCAGCCGGAACGGACAATGCCCGGGAGCTGCAAGCCGAGCTCAGTTCCGCTTGAGGTGTTTTATGGGCCCAGCCTGGGTAAACACGGGCTCCGTTAATGCACCCGGGGTTTCACCTCTGCTGCTGTCAGTCTCTCCTCCCAGAGCCATCGGTGCTCAAGCGTGAGGTGCAGAGGCAGCTCAGAGAAGACAAGTGAGGCTGAGATGGCTCCATGGCAGGGACCCTCAGACACTTCCCAGTCTCCCCAGCCCCCATCGCAGATGTGGGATTGAGGCTTGGGAACTGGAGGGAGCCGGGACCCCCTGAGGCAGAAGCAAAACTGGAGCATCAGGCTATAACACCACCACCTGAGGCCCCACACCTCTCCTGTGAATGGAGACTGTGCTTTCTAAGCCAGCAGGTGAGACATGTGATCTGGCCATAGCTGGTTTCTTATGGGAGCAACTGGACAGAAACCAAAATCAGAACCATCTTGAAAACTCCAGGGCTCTGCTCCCTGTGCTCATTTATCACCAATTCCTCTGCTGGCTCCACGCACCTTTCCTGGTGCCAGCTCCTCTGCAGGCCCTGGGCTGGGGCTGGGGACCCCAAGATGAGTCAGACCTGGCCTTTGTCCAGGATGAAGTCACAGTCTGGTGGGGGACTGAGTCACAGGTGTGGACACAGGCAATGACAATGACAAAGCGGTGTGCTCAGAGCTGGAACAAAGAGAAGCCCCAGGGAGGGGCCCCTAACACAGACGGAGGTCAGGAGGGTAGGGGTATACCCTGGGGGAGGCAGAGAAGAGGCCTGACCTGCATTCTGAAGATGAGTTCATCAGGCTGCCCAGCTACGGGCAGGCACCTAAGGCAGGGAAAACAGCACCTGCAGAACGACAGTCCTCTAGAGGGAATGGCATGGCTGGGAAGAGGGTCTGGCACGCAGCAAGCACTCAGCAAACATCTTTTGAATGAATGAATGAGAAGTTTGATGTAGCTGGAGTGTGGGACTGGAAAACACTGGAAGGGGCTGGAAATGGAAAGTACTGAAGATCATACTAAGGAGTTTGGTGAGTCCTAGACCAGAGGGGAGTAGGGGAAGGGGAGGGACATGGCCCAATTTGCCTCTGAGGAAGACCTCTCAGGAGGCTGGGATTGAACACACATTGGCAGTTGTCAGGTCAAACATAGGACCCACAGTCAAATGTGAATTTCAGATAAACAGTGAATAATTTTTTTTCGCAGTAGTGTCCTTTTATTGCTGCGAACTCTAATTTGGAGTGGAAGTGGGAGGTGTGGGGAGGTGGGCACGTGAGGGGAATACCAGGGCCGGGGCGGTGGTGCTGGCCTGCACAGGGCAAGGGCATGGGAGGACAGGAGGGAACAGCAGAGAGCGTTGATATTGTTTTTCTCTTTTCTTTCATTTCTTTTTCTTTTTTATGAAAACTTGTTTTTGAAGTATAACATGCATATGGGAAAGTGCATCAATCATAAAAATATTCCTCAATACATTATCAAACATGAATGCAGCTGGGTAACTAGCAGGTGATCTACAAACAGAACAATATTCCTGTGCCCTTCCTGCCCTGGGTTGGGACTCCTCAGTCCCACCTGTGCCATTGGTGCCTGGCCTCTCGTTCAGCGTTGCATCTGTGAGAATCCTCCACAGGGCTGTGTGTAGCAGCAGTGACTCGCCACTCTCATTGCTGTAGTGTATTCTGTTGTGTGAAGAGATCACAATGGATTTTCCCTTTCTACTGTTGGTGAGCATTTGGGCAGTGTCCAGTGTGGGGCTTTAGGAACAGTGCCACTCTGAACATGCCAGAACATGTCTATGTGGGTGCATTTGTACACCAGTGTGTGGGATACATTCAGTGGTGTGCTGGTGCCAGCTTGCAAGAGTCCATTACATGTGGCGGGGCATGGTGGCTCACACCTGTAATCCCATCACTTTGGGAAGCTGAGGTGGGCAGATCACTTTGAGGTCAGGAATTTGAGACAAGCCTGGGCAACATGGTAAAACCCTATCTCTACTAAAAATACAAAAATTAGCTGGTGTGGTGGCAGGTGCCTGTAATCCCAACTACTCAGGAGGCTGAGGCAGAAGAATCGATTGAACCTGGGAGGTGGAGGTCGAGATCACACCACTGTACTCCAGCCTGATTGACAGAGGGAGACTCCATCTCAGAGTCCATTACACATATCTCTTCCCAACTCTGTGCTCTGTGGCATCACATTGGTCGTTTGAAATAGGCCATAGTGGGATCGTTGACACCATAGAAATTGGCAAATGCTACAAATCAGGACTTATCTTTTTCTTTCTCCTCCTCCTCCTCCTCCACTCCCCCTCCTCCCCCTCCTCTCCTCCTCCTCCCGCTCCTCCCCCTCCTCTCCTTCTTCCCCTTCTCCCCCTCCTCTCCTTCTCCTCCACCTCCTCCTCCTCCTCCTCCTCCACCACCACCACCACCACCACTGTCTTCTGTCTTCTTTTTTTGAGATGGATTCTTGCCCTGTGGCCCAGACTGGAGTGCAGTGGTGCCGTGTCGGCTCAGGCCTTGTGGATCCAAATGATTCTCCTGTCTCAGCCTCCAGAGTAGCTGGGACTACAGCCTGCCACCACGACTGGCTAATTTTTGTATTTTTAGTAGAAACAGCGTTTCACCATGTTGGCCAGGCTGGTCTCAAACTCCTGACCTCAGGTGATCTGCTTGCCTCAGCCTCCCAAAGTGCTGGGCTGACAGGCATGAGCCACCATGTCTGGCCTCTTTTTTTTCTCTCTCTCTTTTTTTTTTTGGAGAGCTGGCTGCTAAACATTTACCAGCACGCCACTGGATATGTCCCTAAGAGTAGATTGCTGGCTCGTAGCATATGTTCAGCTTTAAGTGTGACACAGTTTTCCGAAGTATTTGTACCCAGTTATGCTCCCCCAGCAATGCGTGAACTACAGGTGCTTCCCATCTTCCCTGTAGAGAGGTTTTTGTGGGGTGTAGGCAGGTTCAGTGTGGGGAGGGAGGGAGAGGCAGGTGATTCAGGGGATGCCCACCATCTGGCTGGGCTTCTGGGGAGAGAAGTGCCATTTCTGAGAGAACCCAGCTGGAGAGTGGGTTTGAGGATGGATGGGCACAGGGAGTCTTCAGGGCTTGGGGACATCCCAGGGTTATCAGCTGTGTGTGCGTCGCTCATCTGTCCACCTGCTGCCCTTTCATTCTTGCCCCAGGTGTCAACCCTGTGCTTCCCCGGGCCCCCATCCTCTCCATATCCTCCCCCTCCTGCCTCCTCCTCCCCTCTGTCTAGGGCATGAGGGCACCTGCAGTGAACCTGGCTCTGATGGTCCCTCACCTCAGCCACTTTGGTAATTCAGTGTGTGACCTGAGACAGGCCATGCTCCTCTCTGGACCTCAGTGTCCCCTTCTGTACACTGGGATCCTGGACAGAGGTTGTTAGGGCAGACCTTCAGGTCCCAGCTGCTGGGGGCTGTAGGCTCCTGTTCTCCTCCACATTACGGTTTGTGAAGCTCTTCACCCCTTCCAGAGTGAACTGGGCCCCAAGCATTTGTGGCTTTGCCACCTGCTTATTATCTAAGATGTGTGGAGGGCTTTGCAGTGGGAACCACCTTGCTTCCTCTGCTCCTCCCACAGCCCTGTTCTCTCTGCACCTGGAACTAGATCCAGGCATTTGCTGGGGCCAAATGACCTTGGGAGAGGCTGAGTGGGGATGCAAACCCAGCTCTGGGATGACAGTGTCCAGGCTGGCAGAGCCATAGGCAGTGCCAGGGCAAGCTGAGGTCCTGGCACAGAGGAGATGTCACTGGAGGTCTGTTGAATCAAAGAACGTCCTGCACCTGCCCCACTTCTCTGTGCAGGGCTGGACAGACAGAAGGCCTTGGAGGAGCCTGTGGATGGGCTGACTGTGTGGCCGGGGAGGCAGGGGCACAGCTCTGACTAGCTGGGTGGGGGTGGTGCACAGACTACTCCGAGACCATGGCCCATTTCACCCGGGCAGTTCTCTGCGAAGCCAGGAAGTGATTTGTATTTTCAGAAGGAAATGAGCAGGGTTTGCTCGTGGGGAGCAGACAGCTCTGGGAAAGGGCTCCAAGGGAAACAGGCTCCGGAGGGGAGGCCAACACCAGCCCCTCCCTGTGAGGCGAGCAGGTGTTGACCAGCAGGGCTGACAAATGAGCTGACCGTGTCCCTTCCCTGACACTGTTGAGAGATGCCTCCCCCCAAGAGGGGGTTTCTCTGGTGCAGAGACACCAGGAGGTGCATGTGAGCCAAGCAGGAAGGGGAGAGGGGTCCAGACTCCTTTCACCACCTCAGGAACCCTACAAATCAGGACTGGCAATGGGAGGGCAAGGCCTGCTGCTGTCCAGCTGGGAGGTGGGGCAGGAGGCCCCAGAGGGGGCAGGAGACCTGGCTGGGGCTGTTTGGAGATCAGAGTATCCCTTCGATGCTGCCATTCATCCATCTTTCCTTCCATCTACCACCCTGTTCCACACCAACTTCCAGGTTTCTGTGCTGGACGTGCAGACATGGAGATGGAGATGGGGCAGGCTCTGCCTCTCACTCCAAGGGGCTCCAGACCTGGTGTGTGCACAGGGGCTTGGGTGGGAGGCTGACTGGTAGGGAGCTAATGACATGGGGTGCCCTGAGGCTGGTAACCAGCCCTGCCTGATGGGCAGCTTCAGAAGAGGGTAATGTGTGAGTTAGCTCTTGATAGGTGTAGGAGGCCATCAGGGGAGCGGGTGGGGAAGGGACCCTTCGGGGCACAGTGGGTGGAACTCTGCTGGGTTCTCAGGTGCCAGGGAACTCTAAGGAGAAGGTGGGGGGGTGGGCAGGAGGAGGTTGTCGGCCTGGGCTGGCAGGAGAGCAAGTACCTGTGTTCTGATTCCGCCTTAGCCCTGATGGTTCTCGGTGTCGGTGGCAGGAGCAGCCTCTGCCCCACTCCAGGAGGTGGAGAGGGGCTCTGAAGATAGTCCCACATAAGACCTTAGGTTTGAGGCAGGTGCAGCTCCCTGCTTGCTGCGCCTTGCTCTGGGAGCTGAGTGGTGCCACTTTCTGCCACCTTGACCTCATGGGACTCACAGATTGCCACCTTGGAGATGGCTCTGCAGGGAGAGGTGGAAGGGAGTGAATTTGTCAGAGGAGGAGCCAGGAGAGGGCATCCCAGGCAGAAGGAAGAGCTTGTGGAGGCTGAGACAAGAAGGAACAGGTTCAAGGCCAGCATGGCTGGAGTGCAGGAGCCTGGGGAGAGGATGGGAGGTGAGGCAACCACTCTGTGTAGGGTCAGAAACCTTGAAGGAGAGAAGCAGAGATGACTGAGCATGAAGTTCTCTGTGCCAGGGCCTAGGCTGGGCAGCAGGGTAATGGGCAAGCATGCCTTGGCCTTACTCTAAGGCTGGGCAGGGTCACTGAGGTTTGGAGAGAATAATTTTTTTTTTTGAGACAGAGTTTCACTCTTGTCACCCAGGCTAAAATGCAATGGTGCAATCTCAGCTCATTGCAACCTCTGCCTCCTGGATTCAAGCGATTCTCCTACCTTGCTCCCTGAGTAGCTGAGATTACAGGTGTGTGCCACCACACCTGGTCTGATTTTGTATTTTTAGTAGAGACAGTGTCTCACCACATTGGCAGGCTGGTCTCGTACTCCTGACCTTAGGTAATCTATCCATCTCAGCCTCCCAAAGTGCTGGGATTATAGGAATGAGCCACTGTGCTGGCTGAAGAAAAGAAATTTTAAACAATTCACCATGGCTCCTGGGTGACAGTGAGACCAGTAAGGAGACTTTTGCAAGTCCAGGTGAGGGGTGTGGGGGCTTGGTGCTGAAGGTTGTTCCCAGATGTCCAGCTTGATGCCAAAGGGGACATGGGCATGAGATGGGAGACTGTGGGAGGCGACTATAGAGAGGGGTTACAGAGTTGATGGGCTGGTCTTGGAAGGTAGACGAGCCTGTGAGACGTAGTTGGCCCATGTAGAACTGGAAAGAGAGGCTGGAGATACATGGGGAGGTAAAGGTAGAGATTGCCCAGGAGTGATGCCCAGAGAGTGTGAAAGGGCTCAGTGAAGAGCCTGCGTAGCTCCTGAGAATCTGCCTCCTTGTTACCTCCTTGGTCCTGCGCAGGCCAGGGCCCCACCCCTCCCTGGGCTCTGGGCCTCCAGTCTCACCTGTTCCACACTGTCTTTGCCAGCAGTCAGGTGGGCCCTGCTGCAATGCCAACTAGTCACATCTTTCCAGCAGCACCCCCATGCCTGATCCTGGCTCCCTCCCACCCCTTCTAGAATCCGGTGCCCTTCTCCCAGCCCTTCCACCTGTGCTTTCTCCCAGTGAGTGGTTAGATGTGTCATTCTGCAGCCCTTCTGGTGGCTTCAGCCTTTGGGACTTTGTGCGTGTTTTCCCACTCCCCCGCCCACCACTCCCTTGTCCGTCTGATGAATCCTACTCATCTTTCAAGATTCAGCTCAGCACCACCTCTTCTGAGAAGCCTTCCTTGGATAGCCCCTTTCCCCACAGAGTTAAGTCCCCTCCCTGGATGCCCCAGCTTCCTATATACTCAGATCACTGTGTTTCAGAGGGTGTCACCAGCCTGCCATCCCCTACAGCCTGGGAGCCACCTGAGGACAGCTCACAGGCCAGGCAGGCACAGGGCAGGAGCTCAGGAGGGAGCTGAGTCGTAAGGCAAGTTAAGTCTCTGTCTAGCGGGAACCTGGCCAAGGAGATGTGCTGGAGGGGTTCCTGCCCCAGGGAGAGTGGTGAGCGTACAGCGTGAGGCACCCACTAGCTCCACAAAGAGAACGAGTGGGTGGAAGACGTTAGCGTGGCTGGGGCTCTGCAGGTCCCTAGGGAAGACAGATGCCCTTCCCATTTGGCATGTGTGTGCTGGTGAGGACTGGACAAGACTGGACAAGACGAGAAGCCTGCTAGGCAGGGGGCAGCATGAGGAAAGGCAAGCTGGCAGCACCACATGGAGAGCCTGTGGCGGGGCAGAGAATGGCAGGAAGTGAGACTAAGGAGGGGGCTTTTGGAAGGCCCCTTAGAAGTGGCTGTTCCCCTTGAGCCTCACCTGGGCCAGGCCCTGAACTTGGTGGTGTCTTAGTTCGTTCAGGCTGCTACAGCACATCCCCATAGACTGGGACCCCCATAGACTGGGTGGCTTAGACAGAGAGCTGGAGGCTGGCAGTCTGAGCTCCAGGTGCTGGCAGGGGTGTCTGGGAGGGCCTGTCTCCGGGTTTGCAGATGGCTCTGTTCTCCTTGTATCCTCACATTGTGAAGAGCATAGCGAGAGCAAGCAAGCTTCCTGGAGTCTCTTCTTAGAAGGGCCCTAACCCATCACAAGGGCTCTGTCCTCCTGACTTCATTACCTCCTAGTGGCGCCATAATAACAATGCCCTGGGGTTAAGGTTTCAGCATAGGAATTTGGAGGACAGACACGGAGTCATCACAGTAGGGTCCCTGTGGAACTCACCTACAGCCCACAACCTCCGTGAGGTAGGTGCTTGTGTCGTCCCTGCTGGATAGATACAACCTGAGGCATGGAGAGGCCTGACCACCTGCTTAGGTCAAAGCTGGGAGCAGGGGTGTCGGACTCCAAGCCCATGCTCATGGCTGCCACACCCTGCTGTCTCTGCCCCACTTTGCAGAGGGGGTGCTGGGGTCCAGGCAGGCAGTGGTTTACCTGGGGCTGCCCAGCAGGTCCAAGGAAGACAAGGACAGCCAAGCTGAGCTCAACCACCTGGTCAGGCCTCATTTAGCTGCACCCTCCACCACAGGGCCCCTCGTCAGTGCCACTGGAGGAACTTCAGAGGCGGCGAAGCTGGTAGAGGTGGGTGGGGCATGTGGCCTGGCACGTCTGCAAAGACAGACCCCAGCCCCAGCGGCCCCAGTCTATGGGGATCCCAGTCTATGGGGATGTGTTGAAGGAGACTGAGGGCAGGAGTGGGGGCTGTGGAATTCACGGAATGGAATGTGAATTGTCTCCAGAGCTCCAGCCTGGGAGGACCACAGAGGGAAGGGTTGGGAGAACAATGGGGGCGTAGGGAACTGGGGCTCCTGGGACAGACAGGGCAGGGCAGGGAGGGACAGGGCTGGGCTTGCTGAGCAAGGCCCTGGGGTGCAGGTGGCTGAGATGAAACCATAGACCAGACAGGGAACAGCCTCCTTTCCCCAGATCCCACGGGTGCCAAGCACAATCAGCACCGGCCCCCAGGAAGAGACCAGTCCTGACACCTTCCTTGTGCCGGATGCTGAGAGGCTATGCATGCTCTCACGTCTATGAGCTCGCTGGGCCACAGCAGCCTGTGGGATGGGCCTTGTGGTGATCCACACACCATTGCACAGGTTGTGAAACTGAGGCTCAGAGAGGCGTGAATTACCCACAGCCCCTCAGAACATCAGTGAAACGTGCCCTTGACTCAGCAGGTTTTCTTGAGACAGGGTCTCTCTCTGTCACCCAGGCTGGAGTGCAGTGGTAGCATCACAGCTCACTGCTGCCTCAACCTTCCAGGCTCCAGCCGTCCTCCCACTTCAGCTTCCCAAGTAGCTGAGATCATAGGTGCACACAGCACCACGCCGGTCTAATTTTTTAATTTTTTATAGAGATGGGGTCTTGCCAGGTTGTCCAGGCTGGTCTTGAACTCCTGGGCTCAAGTGATCCTTCTTTCCTGGCCTCCCAAAGTTCTGGGATTCCAGGTGTGAGCCCTCACGCCCAGCCCAGCTTTATCAGCACCCTCCCCACCAGGACCCACAGACCTGGGGGAAGTCAGTCAACTCAGGGCAAACACACCATCAGCTTCACAAGGGTGGGATTGGCTCCCTGGAGCAGTGTCTGAGCGCCAGGCAGCCAGGCAGGGGTTCCCACATGCTTCCACCTCCCTCTCCATCCCTCCCTCCCCTTACCCCTTCTCTAGCCCCTCCTCCTGAGACCAACAATTCATTGGCTTGAGAAGCAGCTGGCCACTCTGCAGAGCCTGTGGCCTCTGTGGTAGGCCGCGTGGTATTATAAGTTGTTCTCACCTCTCACCTTCCTTTTGGGGGTGGCAGCCCTGAAAGAGGAAAGGGTGAGGGCTTTGGGGTCACATCGCTCCCGATTCCTGCATTCTGCCCTTGGGGAAGGCCCCTCACCTCTCCTGCCTCCTTTGATGGCTGCTGTGAGGATTTCAGGAGCTGCCTGCAGTTATAGGAAAACCCCAGGCCTTGGATGCTGTCCCCTCTCCCCATCCTCATGTCCTCCCCCAGGCCTTCTCTCCAGCCCTTCTCCCGCTAGGGTCATCAGCAGAGTCAGCGACTGGGGCCAGGCTGAAGCCAGGGCTGTGCTGAGGCAGAGGAGGGTCGGCCCTGCCCAGACACAGGAGTCCACCCTCTGCCTTCAGAGTGAGTGACCCCCTGGGGTATCTGCCAGGGTCCTGCTGAGTGTCCCCAGCAGGGGACAGTGGGTCTCTGACACAGGGAATGCTGCTCATCTCTGGCCCAGAGCCTGTTTTAGGATAGAGCTGACCAGCTGCTCCCTGGGAAATTCTGCTACACTGGGTGCTGAAACACACACACACACACACACACACACACACACACACACACACACACGTGTGCATGCGCTCACAGCCCACCCCTCCCGTCTCACATCCTATGACACCGTCTGAGACCATCTCCTGCTCCTATCACGGACACCATAGACTGGGTAATTCACAATGAACAGAAATTTCTTTCTTGCAGTTCACAAAAGCCCTGTCCATATCCCAAGGCTGCACCAGGCTCCATAAGCTGAGGCCACTGAAAACTCGACCTCTTCCTGCCCTGCCCCGGGATGGGAGTCCCTGGAACCCAGCCAGGCTCCTATCCAGAGGGTGGGCACCCCTTTCCTGGGCCATCCTGACGCTACTGTCAAAGCTCTGGCGTCCTCCCTGACCCCAGCACACACCCCCAGGCCTGCCGCCCTGGTCCCTCTGCCTTTTTCCTCCACCCTGTGCTGTGCCTCCCATGCTGTGGGCAGAGCTTCTTCCTTAAGCACCTGTGTCCCGCGCAGCAGCCTCCCCACCCCAGGCCTCACAGGCATTCACAGCCCTCACTGTCCGCCTATGTGCCTTGTCCAGCCGCCTCTCCTGCTGCTGTGTCCCCACTGCATCTTGTCTTTGAGCCACACCAGGACCACCCTGCACCCACATGGGCCGGGTCTCCTCTGGTGCTCATCGTGTTTTTCTCTCTGCCTGGAACTTTCATCCTCAGAGCGAACATTGCCTAGGTGTATCCTGTATGCCAGGCACCATCAGAGATTCACTCTGAGGAGCCCTGTTTGTTTGGGAGTGATGTCTGCACCCCTTGGAATGAATGAGGCAGGGAGGCAAGATGAGGGATGGGAGGAGCAGGCTGCAGGGAGATGCTGGGTGGGGGTGGGGAGTGCTGGAGACAGGGTCTCAACCTTTCCCTGGGCCTGTGCTAGCCACAGGACCCTGCAGATGTTACTCCCATTCCCTGTCAGGATCACTGGGAGTCCAAAAGAAGTCCCCTGATATAGATGGGAATCCTAGCATCCTCCATGGTCACATGGAGGCAGGGACAGGGCCTTCCCATTCTAGCCCAGCAACACCTCCTCTAGTGCACTGGTGCCCCTACTCCAGCCCCAGGGTCCCACCTATGGGAGGTGTTGGGCACAAGTTGCTGAGACCAGCTCCCTGCCCAGCCTTTCCCAGAAACATCCCACAGAGTCCCAGGGCTGGCAGGCTCAAGGGCACCTGGCTGCCCCAGCACCCCCACCCTGTGCTTTCCCATCTGTGATCTCTGGCAGCAGGAAGGAGCAGGCCGGGTTAGTATTATTTTCCTGGTTTGCCTGACTGTTATGATGGTCCCTAAAATCACACAGTGGGACCACTGCCATCCTGTTTGGGAGCAGGGGGCCCCTTATCTGAGCAGACCACACCTCTACTCCCACCTGGAGACCAGCCAGGACAGCCACACAGGTGCCCCAAGGTCATGTATCAACAGCAGTGGTGGAAAGCTCAGGCAAGGGACTGCCGAGGACGCTCACACACAGTCTCACTTGACACGTCGGCCAGTGGGTCAACTGGGCAGACACGGAGGCTCTGAGAGGGTAAGGGACTCGCCCAAGACCACCCTACAGGTTCCAAGTCTCCAGGCCCTTGTGCTGTTTCTTCAGCCCCCACCCCAGACAGTGAGCAGGGAGGTTCCAATGCCTTGGCCCCATTTCAGGAGACCTGGCTGTTCCTGCTCCCTGCCTCACTCTCTTCCATGATATGGCCAGAACCTGGCTGGGAGCAGGAGGCCGGGGCCCTCGGCAGCCCGTGGCATGGCAAGCCACGTGAGTTCCCCTCTGCGCTTTGGCTGCTCTGAGGACCCCTGCCCAGCAATGGCCAAATTCTCACTCCCCCCAGCCCCAGGCTCTCATCTCTCCATAGGGCATGAGGCCACCAAGTCTCTCCCTGCTGCCAGTGGGAGACCAAAGGGAGTGGGCGGAGTCTCCCTGTGCCCACAGCACCAGTAGGAACCCCAGGAGCCTGTTCTAACAGTTCTAAGGAACCCCACTGTTCCCTGTTCTAAGGACAGCAGAAGGCAGCAGGTGGTTCTGGGCCAGCCAAGTGGCCCAGGTGGCAAGTTGCCAGAAGGAATGGCCACAGGACGAGCAGGCCCCTGCAGCCTGGCTGGTGGTCCCCAAAGTCCTTTGTCTAATGTTGGCTTCGAAACTCAGGCAGTCTCATCAGCTCCCCAGCCTCAGTATCCTCGCCTGGAAAGGGAGGACAGGGTAGCACCTGCTTCACACAGTTGCCTTGAGGAGCCTGTGTTAGGGCCTACAAGCACTCAGCCAGCGTCTGACACCTGCATATGCTGGTTAAGATGCAGCTGAGTATTATTCTGAATCTTTTTTAACAAGTGGTGGGCAGGGCTAACTTCACTACGAGCAGCCCTGGAGCTGAGGGCTGGTCCTGATTTACAGACAGGCGAGTCCCTCTCCACTGAGCACCCACCCACAGTGTCAGCCCATCAAATCTGCCCTGAACACCTCAAGGGGGTGCTGTTGCTATCCCCACCTGCAGGAGTGCCCTGAGAGGCTGTGCAGATCTGAGGGTAGATCTGGGACTCTCTGGGGTCCTGACACTCATATGTCACACTCCACCTGGCCACTCATGTCTAACCCTGCCCTCTCCTTGCAAGGGGGTGTCTCTGAATATATGGGCTACCCCGGGAGCTGCTGGTGTCCTGCCCTCACCCTGCTGTGGGGACTTGACCTGTCTTCTCGTGCCCAGCTCTTTCTGGCTCAGCGCAGCTGCAGAGCTGTCACCTCAGCCTTTGATGACATCTTTACTTCTCCCACCCTGTTTTTCAAGCATCCGATCTGGCCCTGGTCTTCTCCCTCAGCCTTTGAACTTGACCAGGGTTGGGGCTGGGTCACCCACTGTCTTGGCCTCCCCACAGGTGCGAAGCTTCAGGCAATTCCTTCCCCAACCACTGCCCCCTGTTTCACCCCCTCACATGCAGACACCTGCCAAGTGGTCTTCAATGACAATGCATTCCCTCGGTCAGCAAATATTTGCCGCCTGTGGTTCAGCCCACCTGCAGGCCACCCAGGATAGGAGCAGAGGGGAGAGTGGCCAGGAGCCAAGGGCGGCTGCAAAGGACACCACTGTCATCTCTGGCTCCATCACTGGAAGTGTGGGGGCCAGGACCCTACATTTCCCCAAAGCAGGACATAGAAGGAGTGTCCTACTTTGGACACTCCATGGACAAACTGGAGCTTGTCCAGTGGAGGCAAAGTTGGATAGATCCTCCATTGCTTCCTGAAGTCTGGATGAGATTATTACATATGGATGATGGTATTTGAGATGATTTTAGGTGATTCATGAAAAACTTACAATATCTTAGAGAATAGTATTGTAAACCCCATGTCCAGATCATCTGACTTCAACAATCATG